ATGTATATTTATATATATATATATATATATATATATATATATATATATATATATATATATATATATAAATTAATTTATGATTTAATTTATAAAACTTTCAATTTTCATTGTTTTCATTCTCATTTACCCATTTTTTACGATTTTATTTTTTGGGACTTGCTTTTTACGGTTTGAAAATTTCTATTTACCGTTCAAAACTTCCAAAACACTCTCTCTCTAGAAAAAAAACCTCTCAAATGCTTTAGATGTGAATTTGATTAAAAATCATTCTTATCGGTGTGATATACGAACACAAATGAGCTCATCGGATGAAGATCAGGATACCCGACATAACGAGGTAAAAATTCCATCTTTTCGATCGAAAAAACTGGGCAAAACGCGTAAAAGCCCAACTTGGGCGCTCATTCATGCAGTGCACCCCCAAGTTGGGCGTGCAGGTGGCTGATCCACGCCCATTTCGGGCGCACAACAGCCAACTGCACGCCCAACTTGGGCGTGCAAGCTGCATTTGGGCGCCCGAGTTGGGCGTCCAGTGCAAAAACGATTTTTTTTTTCGCACATACACCCACGAACGCTCAAGACGGGCGGGCGCCCACGGCATGTACGAACGCCCAGAACGTACGGGCGTTCCTACACGTCGTGGGCGCCCGTCTTAGGCGTTCGTGGGTGTATGTTTGGGGGTTCTTGGGTTTTTTTGGAGGTTTTGGGGTTTCAGAGAGATAAAGGGTTTTCTATTATGAACGGTAAATAACAATTTTCAAACCGTAAAAAACATTTCACTATTTTTTTGAATTTCATTTCTCATAAGTAAAATCTATCACTTGTCGGCCATCGCTAGCCGTCTTGCCCTTTGAACTTGAATATCATTAATTATATAATTTTATTATTCACTTTACATCACTTGTATAAGTATTTTAAAATTTTGTATTTTAATTTTTATATTATTTTGTTAAAATATAGAAGCAAAATATTATAAAAGTTAAAAATGATAATTTTTTTTTTAATATTAACGGGTTTAGCGGGTTTGGAGGGTCAGAACCATTTAATTCAGGTATAGGTTGGGGCGGGTCTGGGTCTAAGCTGAACAGGGTTAGAGCGGGGGTGGGTTTTATATATTTTTCACTGGTCGGGTCTCGAGTTTAGGAAAACCCGACCCAGAACCGACTCGTTGCCATCCCTAGAGTGGCTTGCATGTTTATACAGAGTGATTTTGATAATTTCAAAAAAAAAATGGTATTTTTATTTTATACACTTTTCTTTCCGTAAATGTTATTTGACAAAGTATTTTTCAACAATGACCGATCTACATTGTTGGGTGGTCTTGCTGTCTAAAAAAATTGGTTTTTGTAGCATATTTAATAGTGTCAATTTATTCGTGGTTTTAATTGCAAAAGAGTGGCTTTGGTTGTCAGCAAATTTACTCAGAAAACTTCGACCGCCATTGTGGTGTGGGTCTCGATGTTGATGAATAAGTTTTTTTTTGATAAGTGATGAAGAAGTATGTTGATGATGAGATTTTCTCAAGTTAGTGGGGCGTGATTTTTGGGCAGTATTTATGGAGGAAATTTCAGTGTGAGGAGTGGGATTTGCATATATTATATGATCGAGAATGTGCCATTTGAGGATTTCCAACTATCCAACCCAACAAACTCTCAATACGATCTTATATACATATCAAGATTATATTATTGAGGACAAGGATATACGGAGCGGATGGGAATGATAGGGATAATAATTCTTAAGTCAATGGAAATAAATTAGTCAAATTAAATTAGGGGTTAGTAGTTGGGTTATGAGAGTTACTTCTTGCATTTTGGGGTTTAAAGCACACAAACAACTTCTTGTATCAGTTGCAACGGCCAAAGCGGAATGCAACACATCCATCCCACATGCTTTAACTGCAAACATTATAGTGTTACAACTCATTACTCTCTCACCAAACACTACCCATTTATAATTTAATTATTTTACCTCTATATTTCAACATCTTCTTACCAACTAATTAACAGTTTTTCTTTCACTTATTTATTATTTTCTTTTATCCTTAAAGGCTTAAATTCAAATTATGTTACGAATTGGGGAAGAAATTTGGGCGTGTGCTGCATAATTTGAACCTATAATTATATCCTAATGGTAGTTTGTTGGTAGCATCTTAATATTTATTTCTCCCCACCCCAAGATATTCTATATCCATCAATTAAATTTAGCCGTGATTGATCAATTTAATTGGTCTCTTATTCCACGAGTTAAACCAATTATTATTATTATTATTATTATTATTATTATTATTATTATTATTATTATTATAAAATAACCGACATGTACGGTGTGCAGTGTGCAATGAAGAAGTTGTTGCGATGAAGAGTTGAAAAATACAAAAAACTAACTGCCATAGTTTGTGGGTCGTATTCTGAACCGTTTTGCATAACGTCTTTCGTATTTTCCTGACCGAATCCGTTACGTATTAATATCACTTCCTATTTACTGCTAAATAATAATACTGGCTATATATATGATCACATTCTTTCTTTTATATTTAAAAATAATATTTCCAATTCCTCATTTAATTAGTTAAATAATAATTTATTTAAAAAAGAAAAATTGGTGACACACAAAACTGAAAAACCAACAAAAATTGAAATGGTTTGTGTCATGTGCGAGCAGTTTAAGGCTCATGCCCAACAACTCCTCCCTCAAAACAGTTACAACATTATCATGCATCAAAACCCCCTCCTCTTTCATATCTCTATATATTATACTTATAGAGAGAGAAAGAGAGAGGAGAGAGAGAGAGAGAGAAAATGGAGGAAATTGGAGAGAAGATTAAAGGATCTTGGAACCCACAAGAAGACGCTGCACTAATAGCGCTGGTGGAGGAGCACGGCCCCCGCAACTGGTCCCTTATTAGCAACGGCATCCCTGGGAGATCCGGCAAATCTTGCCGGCTGCGGTGGTGCAATCAGCTGAGCCCGTCGGTGAAGCACCGCCCCTTCACGGCGGCGGAGGACGCCTTGATTTTGCAGGCTCACACCGTACACGGGAACAGATGGGCCACCATCGCCCGCCTCTTGCCTGGGAGGACCGATAACGCCATTAAGAATCACTGGAATTCCACTCTCAGGAGAAAGCGAAATGTTCGCGGCGTCGACACGGCGGCGATGCGGCGGAGTTCGGATGAGTCGGGGAGCGGGTCGTCTGAGTCGGCGTTGAAGAGGCAGTGCTCGCGTGTGTCGCAGGAGCAGAATAGTTACAGTGGGGGTCGTGATGATTTGATTTTAGAGGAAGGGGATATGGGGACGGGTGATGGGCTGACCCTCACACTTTTGCCGCCGGGAGGGAGAGCGCTAGAGTCACCCGACGGTGAGAAAGAGGTGAGAAAGGAAGAGATTCGGATCTTTGACGATGGAAGTTCGACGGTTGAGATTGAAAACACGTGTTTGGTGAAGATTATGCAGAGGATCATAGCACAGGAGGTCCGTACTTATTTCGAGAAGTTACGGGCTGAGGGTGACCATGATATTGGGCCCGAGTTTGAGTCACAAGTCCGAAGAAGCATCTAGTTTTATTAGCAAAATTGCAAATTGAGAATGGTTTTTTTTATGTATTTGTGCACTTTTGCTTACTTTGTTCTTTTTTCTTTTTTTTTTTTTTAAAAATAGTTCTCTTCCGTTACTTCTTCTTAAATCGTTTTCTTTTTAATTTTTTTAATTATTATTTTTTTTATTTTGACAGTTTGCTAAATTGGATTATTAATAGGATTTGTCTAGGGTAAGGATCCCACCAACACGACTTATATGAGATACTCTTAAACAGCACGACATGTCCCAATAACATAACCTATTTTTTATTGATTTATCTATTTGTCGTAAAATACCCTTTGTCAACTATTTTAACACAAAAATCGGAAATTATAAATTTCTAATGAAATGTCTATGTTACCCTTTATATTTTGGGATAATTGGCTATACCCCTTATTTCAATCTTATATGGGTAGGAGTCTAATCTGTTAGATTGATATCGATATAGGCCATTTGAACAAAAAAATCAATTAAATGAAATAAAATTAATTTGTATATGGACATAAACACCCTTGAACAATAAATAATTTATATATGGAAGTCTTTAATTACATAAATTGTGAGAATAAATCCCATGTATCACATCGTAAAATTTAGAAAACTCATCCTATGAGACGTGGTTGAAAAAAAAAAACTCATCCTGAGAGGAAGTTTATGAGAAGTAGTTGATTCATCTTTGACAACACTCTTATTCTGTTTTGCAAAATCTCTGGTATAGATTTCGAGATTGAAATTCGAATTAAGAATTTTGATTCAGTTTGGCAGGCATTAAATTAAATTTTGTGATTTTTTTAGGGTTGATGATGTAAGATTGAAGGAGAAGATGACCATAGAGAATGTGATTGAGCCCGATTCACATATTTTCTCTTGATTCTTCAGTATCATCAAGATTTCATTTAGTTTTCTTTTTTCGTGCAAACCAAACAAGTACAAAATGGCTCGCTCGTTCTCCGCGGCTATATTCATTTCTTCTTTCAACGCCAAAGCAGTTTTGTATCTAGAGGCTCAAGGGCATCGACTAAATCTAATTATCTTGAGATGAAAATTGTTTTTGTTGTTTGCTATATTTTTTACACTTTGTTGTTATATATTTATTTTGTTGTTGTTGGTATTGTACTATTTGCACTTTTCTTTTTATTCTTGCAATTTACGTATATAATGTGTTTTTTGCTCGAATATATTTTTACACTTTTGCTTCTTTTATTTATTATTGTAAGTTGTTTTTTTTTCATACTTGACTGTTACAGTTAATCTCTGTTCTGTAAATATCAAACTTTAAACATCCATTCATAATACAAGCATCAAACAGTAAAATATCATTTTATAATACCCATATCAAGTAACAAACCTCAAGTTTTTTTTTTCTTTTTTTTTTTATGTTGATTTGCACTTTTTTCGATGTTCGTGGATTTTTGTTTTGCGTTTTGCGTTTTGCTGTTTCAGCAAACTATATTTTACTGAGTTAACTGCAACAACCTCCCCTGTGTTAATCTTAAAGACCAAAAAATCCCCTGTGATAAAAAAAGTGACCCATACCCCCTGTAATATATAGTCAAAGTCGTTTCCCCCCTCCAGATCGTATGTGTCGTTCACGCGCTATTTGTGCGACTACTCCCCCGAATTATGCACGATTTTGTGCAAAAGGATATGATTGCCCATCTGGTATTTACTTCTTAGTAAAGAGGGCATATTCCCTCTTACAATCCGAAATTAGGGTTTATATTTCCTCTCACAAACCGAAATTAGGGGTCAATCGAGCTCATGTCTTCCTCTTCGTCCAACACCGCTGCAAAGAGAAGAAATATGAAGATGCATATGGATTTGCGTTACGCAACACCTCCGTTTTGTTATTGCGGACAAAGGTCTTCTCTGAAGATTGTTGAATCAACAACAAAACCGTCAATTGGTAGGTTGTATCATAACTGCGAAATTCGAAGGTGTAAATTTTTTGAATGGTGCGATCCGATTCGAGCTACGTGGGAACCCGTTGGGATTCCTGTCAAATATCCAGGTTGGGAAGATGTAGTGCAGGATAAAGTTGAGGAGGAGAAGGATGAAACAATTTCGAGATGCACAAGTGTTCATAAATTGAGTGCAAAAGATTGTGGTAACAATTTTCAAATTTCCTGGGTTATATGCGCATTGTTGTTTTTTATGGTGATGGTACTTTTACAGAAGATTTAGAACATTTAGAGGCAGTGATGGATATTGTAGTTATTGATGGACTAACTAGTACATGTTATGTTTGTCTTGTTTGTATGCAATGTTCCACTTGCATCAATTTCTAATGAAAATATAGTTGGGTTTGTTCTAATTTCATTTTTTAATTTTTTATGCTGTTGTTTGCTAAATATTCTTACTGGAAAAAAAAGATTCAACATAATCTTACATAAACAACTCAGAAAAAAAAATGGCAAGATCAATCCTAAATTTTCACTTTCCCCAAACCTGTTTTACTTCAAACAACAACAATAATGTCAAATAAATATATTGAGAACATTCAAACAAAGTGAGTTTTACTAATGTCTTCATGAGAATCTAAAAACATGCAAAATAAGCATTCACAATGGCTGAATGTTACTAATACAGTCATTAATAAGCCATGTTACATTAGAAGTTTCAAAAGTGTTGTTTATCAAAAAGACTTCATAATAAGCAATAACAAAAACTGAATTATCATCATCACTTGCTTTCTAAATCTTCCACATCTTCTTCTTCTTGGACCTATCTTTGATGTTTTGCACTTCAGAAATCTGGACATTCGTTTTTCTTTTGGGATTGGTTGAACTAGCACCACCTTCTACAGTTGATGAGGCGTCTCTTGGAGGAGCAAAAGCAGTAGTTGATGAGGCCTCTTTCTCATGTCCAAGCAGAGCTGCATTCCTTCTCCCCTGGTAAACCTACAATGAATAGAAAGTAAATTTAAATTCAAGTAACTAACTATTTACAAATCAAGAAAACTACATTTTACCCTTGATGGTTGAGCTGCATTTGTATTCACAATCATTGACTCTTGAGAAGGAATTGGTGGAAGTGCAGTACATCCAGATCTTATAAACTGAGGAGCACTTGGAGTTCTTGACTTCACTACCAATGAAGGGGCAGGAGATGCAGTATGGCTAGTTGTTTGTGCTCTTGGAGGTGTTGGAGGGGCAGAAGATGCAGTATGGCCAGTTGCTTGTGCTCTTGGAGCTGTTGGAGGGGCAAAAGATGCATTAGGGCCATTTCTTTGTGTACTTGGAGCTGCTGGTACTCTTGGAGCTGCTGGAGGTACAGAAGATGCAGTAGGGTCATTTTTTGTGCATTAGGGCCATTTCTTTGTGCACTTGGTGCTGCTGGTGCTCTTGGAGATCTTGGATTCTTGCATGTGTTACTATTATGGCATCTTTACATGCAATTATTACATTTATGGGTCAAACCCTTTCTGAATGAGGGCCTCTGCAGCTCCTCAGGTGCTTTTCTTCTCATTCTTTTAGGTCTCCCCCTCTTTATCTTTGGAGTTGGTGCTGCAAGTGGTTCATAAGCAGTCTTCAAGTAATCTCTCTGCCATGGAACAACATGTATCATATGTTCAAATCTCTTCAAATACATGTCTTTTTTGTAGCAGTTGTTCACATAATCCTCCAACTTGTATCTCCTCTCTACAATGCATGCCCATGCATGAGCACATGGGAACCCACACAGCTGAAATATGCCATATGAACAAGTCTTATCAGTCAACTTCACAATGTATGTATCCATGTAGTGTTGAACCTCAAAGTCATCCCTCCCACACCAAGTAGGAAAGCAATTTCTTGCTGTCTTCTAGAACTTGTTGATTTTTCTTAAGATGTTTGGACAAATTGTGCCTTCATACTTCTCATCCCAGTTCTTTTTGTTTGGTGTCTAGTTGTCAATCTTCTCTTAATCCATTCAAAAAATATGATTATAGGCTTCTCCCCTGCTTGAAGTATCATGTTGTTGAAAGATTCACACAAATTATTGACTAGCACATCTGATTTGCAACTTGTGGTGAAGTGTGATCTGGTCCAATGACAAGGTGGGATGTTCCTTAACCATTCTGCTGCAGTTCTATCAATCTTTTGAATCTCAGTCATATGCATTGCAAATGTATTCTTGTTTCCAATTGATGCAACTTTCCATAACAGTGTCTTCAAATCTTCAGATGGCTACTTACTTCTGAAATTCTGGTATATATGTCTCACACATAACCTGTGAGCACAACCAGGTGCTAGTTCTTTCAATGTCTCAAGCAACCCCTTATGTCTATCAGAAGTGAAAGTCCATTTGGTTTTTTCTACACCACCAATATCTTCAAGTAATGCACTAATAAACCAAGTCCATGTCTTCATATTCTTTTGTTTTTCAGTTGTTGGCATGGTATTGTTTGCACTTTTGATTTTTATGTTTGCAGTTTGCATATACAATGTGTTTCTTGCTCGAATATATTTGTTCATGTTGCTGTTATATATGATTTAATTCTTTGGTATAATATTATTTACACTTTTAATGCCATATATTTGTTTCTGTTGTTGTTATTGTATTATTTAAACTTTGCCTTTTCTTTTTGTAGTTTGCATATAAATTACAATAGCAAAATGCAAACTGTAACAGTGGAATGAAGACTAAAGTCATGTGATAATTTTGTGGCAGCAGTATATAGAATAACAAAAGTCGAATATGTTGTTTTTTTAACAATTTACTGAATTTATATTATGAATTGGCAAGCATATCCCAATGCACAAAATAACTGCATGAATTTTAAATATATTACAAAATAGTTCATAACAAAATTCAACAATAATAAAATGAAAATAAAAAATAAAGTTCTGCTAAATATAAGTAAATGTCATAAAAATATTCTAATTAAACTCAACGGTATCCTCGTCGTCCAAGAACTGATAATTAAAAGTTTTTCGAGTTCGATGATCTCCATTTTCTGCAGTTTTTCTCACTAATGGTTGTTGCATGCACAACTGCCTTGCAATATGCAAGACCAAAACAAAATATCGCAATCGAGATCTGAAATGATGTAACAAAAAAACAAAACAACCGGCAAACTATTGTAACTCAAATAATAGAATCCAAACAAAAAATAATGTCAAAACAAAAAATGAAGACTT